TCCTGTGTCCTTCGAGATATACTAGTGATGCGACAAAAGAAACATTTGACGTTAACCGGTATCGGCACCCTCGGGATTTGGCAGCCTGTGTGCATGCACGCACCGCACACCTAGCAGGACCATCTCTGATTCCACTCGTAGAGAGCTATTTGACTAAGTGGTTAAGATTTAAAGAGTAAAGAATATTTTATGTTATTTTCATATACGTTTCATTACAAAGTTAAATTTAATTATAATTTTCTTTAAAAAGTATATTCATACAATTGAAGAATATTTTGCACCAGGTATGTACCGGTACATCCACCACATATTTTATTTCACCAAGTAAGTTATTATTTTTAATTTTATCCCTTATATCATGGCTAGCGATTCAGAATGTAATTGTGATATTAAAAATACATTTAGAGAAGGCTACGGTTTTCACCGGCTTATCGAACAAACGAATACGAATGACCCTAGACCATCACTGACGCAATTAACTGATTGCTCCTGGAAGTCGGCTTCTTACAGAAACACAGCTTCCCTATCACCAAATGTCACGGCACGCCACTGCCGACATTCACTTTCCATTTTTCTAAATAAATCAAAACTACAACTGTTTTGGTTTATTTAGAAAGTGTTGAAAACATGACCAAAAAGAAAGCTTTTATTGGTATTCAACACTGGAATTGCTCCATCCATATTATTACATCACAATTAAATTCTACTGTTTATTGGGTTTCGAGGTAAGGAATGTTGGAGGACCCCTAATAATTAAAATGCATCGCCATAGCTACAAACTCAAAAATTTCAGCCTTCTATCTTATGTGGACAAAATTGGAATTGCACGATGAGGACAGAAAGCAAGTTCAACATAGTGTTTTATTTAATTATTATAAGTTCGATAGACTACAAAGATACTAAAACTTTTAGTGTGTTTTCTAAATAGCTATTGAGAGAATTCTAGCAGGTTTCCGATTACTACAATCCAAGCTTTTATCAATACCTTCACTGGACGGACTACAGTAATTCAGCTACAAAGATTTTTAATTATGGGAAGATTTGTTTAGACATTCATTAGCACTTTACGAAGCTTTACTTTGTCACCATATCGAGGTTTGCTCCTGTGTGTTTCTTACACTATTTGACCATTTGATAATAAATTTGAAAATATAAAATTTTCAAATTTATTTCGCCATCAAATAAGACTACTGTAAAGATTTTCACGATCTTTATGAATTAAATACAGTATATAAAACTTAAATGTAACTGTTTTAACATATTTTGTTCCTCGGTCCTCATGAATTAAATCACATTTATAAGACCTACTTATATATATTTACAATTATTGATAATGATAATTTTTAAAAACAAAGAAACGAAAACCAAACGTCCCCTTCAGACATATTTTATTGTACACCTAGATAGGCATCTGTACATAAAAACATTGCAGATTCCACAAACGTAACATATCGTAGAATCTTAACACTGCTTCCATTATCGGGGAAATTTTTTTTTTAATTCTTCCATAACATTTCAGTGCTGCTTTTTCCTATACGAGCAACCTAAAAACGGGAAAATTATGATTAAAACAAATTGCTACTAAAATTTTTGCCTTGATAATTCACTTTGTTGTTAATTGATTTTTTTAAAATGCTTACTCATTTCTTTTTACACATATTTCAACAATTTTATATACAGTAGAACCTCGATTATCCGGACTAATTAGGGATGAAGGTAGTCCGGATAAGGAAAAATCCGGATAATCGAAACAAATACTTTAATTTGTCTTTTAATGATAATACAACACGCTTTCTTTTCGATGACATATCGATAATATTAAAAGTAAATACTGTATTTAAATCGTGATCAAATTTTCAAGAAACAAACGTTTGTATTGAATTTGGACTACTACTGACCAACGCTAACAGACTACCTATTGTTTAAAAGGCNTTTTTAAAAACAAAGAAACGAAAACCAAACGTCCCCTTCAGACATATTTTATTGTACACCTAGATAGGCATCTGTACATAAAAACATTGCAGATTCCACAAACGTAACATATCGTAGAATCTTAACACTGCTTCCATTATCGGGGAAATTTTTTTTTTAATTCTTCCATAACATTTCAGTGCTGCTTTTTCCTATACGAGCAACCTAAAAACGGGAAAATTATGATTAAAACAAATTGCTACTAAAATTTTTGCCTTGATAATTCACTTTGTTGTTAATTGATTTTTTTAAAATGCTTACTCATTTCTTTTTACACATATTTCAACAATTTTATATATTATTTCATCTATGAATTACATAAAAAATTTAAATATAAAATTTTTTCATATAGTTTCCATTTGAATTGAAATTAAAACTTAATTTATATAATAGGCAAAATTATCTAATTGATTTTAAAAATTCGAAATTTATTAATGGAATAACTACACTCGTGATATCTAACTATATCACGGATTTAGGTTAATGGATAAGACATACAACACATGGGTAATCAATCTACCAAGGAGTGCTTCTTGGGAGAACTTTCTATAGGAAACTGGTTCCTATTTAAACAGACACTTGAAATCCAGAAAACTATGTAGATTGTATATTTGAGCCTAAACAACAGGCAACCAACTAAATACAGGTCTGTGATTTCACCCACTCAGCCACTGATGGCTCATTAACATATCTTGAGGAACTCTTATTACACTATTAAATGGATATACCGTTAATGATATTGTTAATGAAAACCATAAATAATTCTTGTGTTGAGTTTGGCATAATTCATCACTTCACACAAAAAGAAATCTACTTTTCTTCACTAAATAATAAATTATCACTGTAGATTAAATAGCAATATTTATACTTGAGAATAAACCATGACACACAATTAGCCATGAAAGTAAATTTAAAGAATTCTTAAACATGGTATAAAAAGTGAAATATTTAAGACATTTATATTATTGAATGCAGAAAAACAAATTTGGAATCCTCAGAACAGGATAAATATGGTTTATGAGAAAATCTTATACATTAAGAAGGATACCAGAAAAAGAAAATATTGTAGATTCAAAACAAATTGTCAACAAAAAGCGATAAGTAGACAATTGTTATGCAATTCTTACTTGAAAGATAAATCAATAAAACGAAGTTCAGATAGTTTCTGAAAGAACTAGCAAAAGAGTATCATCATCAAATATTTATCCATTTCACAGAACAAGATGCTTATCTTAATAGTTTATTCGGATGCAAACTGGACTGCTTGCTCTAAAAATTGAATATGCTAGAAAGTATTTAGTAGTATGAACTAATACTATTGAAAATTACAATAGAAAAATTAATATTTTGCATTATCAGAAACGCATATTATGGATCAGAAGTTAGTTTCTTAAATCAAACAGTCTGTTAATTAAACAATCAACATATAACAAATATAACCAATTTGGTTTCATCCATGCTTAAAATTTCGTAAACACCAAATATTACCATAAAATTGCTGCTTGCTTCATGCCAGGGACATTGGAATTAACTTGAAAGTTATAAAACTGCTCATATACAGTGAAGCAAACCTTAAAATATTTTCAAAACTTTTGATTAAAATAATACATAAAATTCAGAACTTCTATAAAATGATTTCATTCAAGTGAAATAATTTTATGCAGAAACTATTTTGATAGATGAAATATCATTTTAGATTTTTCTTTAATACAAGAAGTCATTTTATTGAAGATGTACAAGATATTTTTCAAAATATTCCAATTGGATACTTGAATTGGTAAACTTTTTATATTAATATCTTTTTGATGCAGTATGTTACTGAGCACATTTCAATATAAGAATTCCTGATTATATATATATAATGTGTACAGACACTCATGTTTGTGAAAATTCCTTCATTACAGGAAATGTAATGAAGGAATGAGGTAAGACATGCAAATGAAGAGAATTACAAAGTGATTGCACATGCATAGAATGAGAACCATCTCCTTAACAGCCACTTGTTCCAGGTATATAAAGGACTGTAAAGATGCATTAAAATCCATTTATCTTCCTCTGTCTGTGGTAAAAGTTTTATTGTTGGTCAATATGCCTCGTCAAAAGCTGAGGAAGCCATACCAACAACTAATGGAGTTCGTATGAGGCCACATCATCGGTATGCGAGAGGGTGGATTTTCGTATCGAGAAATCGCAGCCTGCACGCAGTGTAATGCCACAACAGTGATGCGTGTTTGGAAGAAATGGACAGAGGAGAACCAAATAAGGCGAAAACTTGGCAGTGGGGCAAGCAATAGCACAATGGTATGGGACAACAGACACCTAATCCACATGGCTGTGATGGACCATACAGCATCCTCTCGTGTTAGCACAATGTTGGAGCACAGCTACAGATGTTTTGTTGTCTAGCTCCACGGTTTGTTACTGTTTGCTGCAGCATGAACTGCGTGCAAGGGTTCCTCTATGCAGGATTCCCCACTCGCTGATTCACAGACGCCTTTGACTTCAATGTGCTCAGCAACACAGCACATGGCGTGCCCAGTGGCAACAAGTTGTTTTTTCCAACAAATCTCGCTACAATCTGAAGTACAATGATGGAAGAGTACGTGTCAGATGTTACAGAGGGGAACGTCTGCTCTCACAATGTGTTATCCAGCATTATACCACATAAACACCTGGCATCATGGTGTGGGGAGCTATTGGGTATAATTGTCGATGCACATTGCGGGCAACCTCAACAGTGATTACTACATACGGGGAAATTATGAAGCCAGAGGTCCTCCCCCTTCTTCGATGCATTCCAGGTGCTGTATTTCAGCAGGATAATGCCTGTGCACATATTTCTCAGAATGCAGAAGCCTTCTTCAGTGCACAACAAGTTTTGCTTCTTTCATGGCCTGTTTATTCCCCAGATATGTCGCCCATCAAGCATATCTGGGATTTCATTGGTCAGCGACTTGCTTGTACAGCTGGTGGGGCACAGAATAAGACTGAACTTTGACGTCAAGTCAAAGCCATCTGGAATGCCATGCTCCAGGATTACATTCAGAGCCTGTATGATTCAATGCCACGACATGTACAAGCTTCCATTGCTCAGTGTGGCGGACACACAAAGTACTTATTTCCGATGTTCTTTTTCTTTTTTTGTCTTGTAAATTTGATTGTTTATTTGTACCACTATCAGTAATTAATTTCTGACAATTCCTTCGTGGTGTTGCAATTTTCACAAACATGAGTGTATAATTAAGTATTAATGGTAATAGCTGTAGTTTATCTACAAAAAATAAAAATAGCTTAAACTGAGTAAAAAAGTGTGCACATTAAATTTATTTTACACATTAGGTAGAGAAATGACAAAAAGCAATGTTAACATTCTTTTCATTTCAATATATATATTTTCTCAAGATTAAGCCTTTTCATAAAATAAATACTTGATTACATAATTATAAGCATTGTTAGCAATGAAGTAAATAGTATCCATAACTGTAATAAAAAGTAGATCTGATTTAGAATATTAAACAATCAAATGTGCAATATTAAATAATCTACTTGAGGAAAGCCAATTTGATGAAGCTTTCAAACACAGAATACATATAAAAAATATAAATTATCTGATTTTAATAACTGCAACACTTAAAATATTGGATTGTCCTGTCCAGTTTCTGGACAACACAATTCAAAATCCAGAAATTCTAGATTTTTGAAGAGAAGCTTCAGAACTTTATAATTACTTTTTCATTCAATGTATTTACCATTGTTATCAAGTACTTTTTGCTACCTTTCTTTAATCTACAAATCTTATTGTATTGAAAATCTGGATCTCGTCCATCAAAGAATTCTTTAAAGTGCTTTCTTACATCTGTTCTGAAAAGTTTTCATTGTATAAAGTTTTGTAAGGATTGAAACAAGTGAAAATTAGGCAAATGGATGCATCATTGTTTCCCATTTAAATTTGTTATTTAATTTTCAGGTGAAAAATACCACGAGGATGTGCACTGTCTTGATAGAATACAATTTCTCATCTGTTGCTTAATGCAAAGCCACTTTTGAGTAATTGCTTCTTTCAGATACCTGAGCTTTAACTGATGAGAGACCCAAACATTCAAGTGATTTACATAGTCTAATTCCTTTTAATTCTGTAAAAAGTGTTGACTTTGGAACTTGAAAGTTTAAGTTCCTAGACAAGTCTAGAGTTATTTTCAACTGTAACACTCAGCAAATCGTTGTCAATAGTTGAAGATATTCCCTGCCCAAAAATCATCATTTTTTTGGACTGCAATTTGAAAAAATTATATACTTATAAATTCCCACTGTTGTCCTTCTGTCTCCTTAATCTCGATAACAGTTAGATAAATGAAAGATGATACCAGATATGGGAACCACAGGGGCAGGAGGCCCCAATTAACGATATATGAATCTCTGATGCAAACCAGAAGTCATATTATTTCAATTCAAAAATTTTCCCCTGAAAGGAGTTAGTAATAGTCATGCTGGTCATCTATCTAACAGGAAAATTATGATGTACAAGGGCAAGACACTACTAATTTAAGGTGGCGAGCATATATTTTAAATTAAATAAAGTTAAAAATTACAGCCCAGTATTGTGATGATGTCAATAAATAATTGCTCATTTCCCATTTATAAAGTCTTCAACCAATATTTAGCCACATTTTGTTGCAGCATCTTCACCATAAAATTAACAATTTTCCTAGCAATTGCTGCAGCATTTTCCATTTGATCAAATTGCAAACAATGTTAATAATTATTTTTTTTAATTCATAAGAAAAACCAATAATGCATTAATTTTTCTAAAATTTTTCCCCTTTATCTTTCAAATTAACTATAAATTACACTAATATGACATACTTGTAATTTTATCAAATTTCATAAAACCCACAACTTTTTGGACAACCCAATAAAATTCAAAAACTATTACCTGAGACAACAATCACAAGCAAAATGAAATTTTGTTGGTAATCACAAGCAAAATGAAATTTTGTTGGTAATTGTTCTCTGTCTCAGGTGCTTCAGGTTTAATAAGTGTGTATATGTCTGTGTTTGGAAAATCCAGGATTTACTGCAGTTAATAATTTTCTACATAAATGAATATAATAAATTTGTTTCAAGTTTTATAAAATTTTCATTGCAAATAAAAATATTGTAAATCAGAAATTCACATTTAGTTTTACATATGTAATATACTTTCATTTAACCTCAGATACTGATATCTCTCGAGCATTGTTTATTGCACAATATCTGCAATCACATCTCTCTGGATCATTATTTCAGATATCAAAATATTGTAAATTATTATAATAAGTTTTTCCTCCTCTCCCATTATTTCATTTATATAATTGTGAGGAAACTAAATGTGTATTTCTGGTTTACAATACTTTTATTTTAAATATATTAAAAGTTTCCATACAAATTTTTTGAAATCATTGCACAGAATTTGTATTATAGCAATTTACATTTTGATTATATGTAATTTTACTCTATAAAAAGAAAACCATCCTTTAAAATAAAATGTTAGTTATTAAATAAATACTTGCCTTCTGTCAATCTAGCTCGTCCTCCTGTAGGCTGACAAAGAACTGTTGAGCAGCCTACACACAAAACTACAGTCTGTGCATGACTAAATACAGTTGTAATTTTGTAGCATCCTGTAATAAAAAACTTGTTTACTAACTTGTTTGAATATATGCTTTATTATTTCAGATTATACATTTTAAAAAGGATAGATAAAAAAATTTATTTTACAATTATGTCTTCAGTTGTATTCTTCCCCAGTAAATTTTTTAAAATTTACATTCAATATACATTTGTCAAAAATGCAATGCCAAGAAATAGATAACTATAGAACTTATCAATTTACATTATGTCAATATTTCAAATAAATGAGTAGTTTTTTAAATAAATTTGAATATTAATTAGTTTATTTAATAAGATATGTTAGGCCACAAAGTGACCACACATTAATACATTAAAGCATCCATGCTCTTTATTAAATAGTCAATAACTTCTTGTGAGATATTTAGCATATTTCAACATGCATTTGTAAAATGCTTAAATTGTTGCAGGATTAGACAATCTCTAAATGTCTCTTCAAATTGTGCCTAGAACAATCATGTCCATGGAAGACAGAGTTTAAGAAAGACAGTCAAGTAAGGATTTCCAAATGATTAAAAACACTAAAAATAATGGTAATCATTATACAGGAAATCCTTGTTAATTTGAACTCAAATAGTTCGAAATCCCAATTACTTCATAACTACTTTTGTCTTGGCTGGAGATACAGTTAAGGAGTTAAGTGTTAAAGAATTCAGTTAGTTTGAAATACAGCTACAGTGGTACCTCAGTATACGTCTGCTTTAGAATACGTCCTGTTTGGATAAAACAAATTTTGCTCTGTATACGACTTAATTCAATTATACGTGCCATCTATGAACAAGTAGCACTATCGGTATACTAGACCAGGCTAGATGTTCGCGGTGCCACAGTTTATAACTTTGTTAAATTTCTTCTGATTTTAATTTGTAAGTAAAATTTTATTATTTTTATTAATCATGAATTGCAAAAAGGTAAGTGAAAAGCAACAGAAAACTAAAGAAATGACTAGAATCACAATGGAACTGAAAAAAGATTGTTGAGGAATATTAAGGTGGTATGTGTGGTCAAGATTTAACTGTTGCATACCGTATTCCGAGAACGCCGATATCAACAATTGCGAAAAATAAAGACATTATTAAATCTGCTAACGTTGCAAAAGAAGTTAAATCAATTTCTAAACAGAGATCGAAGACATTAGATCATGTTGAGAAATTGCTTTTGCTTTGGATAACTGAAAAACAGTGTGCCGGTGACATCGTATCGGAGAAGCAATTATTTGCAAGAAAGCTAAAAAGATACATGCTGATCATGAAAAATCAAGCATGAACTAGCAGGGAAAGTGAGGTGTTTAAAGCCAGCCATGTTTTTTCATGAGAACGGATTAATCATTTTTACATTACTTCTTATGGGAAAAGTTGGTTTGGTATACGTCCTATTCGGTATAAGTCCAAACATTAGGAATGGATTAAGGTCATATATTGAGGTTCCACTGTATTTCAAAATTCAAAGTGAAAATTCTATCCAAACTGTTACATGCATACATTAACTCCTTTGTTTAGATTGAAGTGCCTCCCATGCTATAAGAGAACAACAACAGACCAAGAACAACTATAATCTGGTCAATATGGCTTTGCTTTTACAATAATACATTTTCGGATGTCATCTTACATATGGACTACCACCATTTCTAATTTCATAAAATTTGGCTGGGTTTCAGGATTACACAAGTAACCCAATCTTGCAATCCCAAAGTGAGATATTTGTAGGACTCTAGGCAACTACTTTTTGGGCCACTTTAAAAATAATTTTGGCTACATTTCGAGGAATTCTGCTTTAGTTTTTATAAAGCCTATCTGGCGATCTATGAAGTTCTCACTGGGCATGTGCTGGTTACCTGCAGTTCATTTATATTATTATTATTAAACAAAAATAGCATTCTGTATAAGTAGCTATATTCCATTTGCGTAATAAATTACATCAGTTACATGGCATATTGTACAAAAATATGTAAATCTTGGATAGTTTGAAGTTGCAAATATTTTGCCCCAAACCTTGAACTAATGAGGATTTCCTGTATTGCTTGTATATTTTGAAGAAATATTGTTCTTGAGCATTGTTCGAGGTAGAAAAGAACATGACAAGAATCTCATCACTACCTACAGCATTCCATGAATGTAACTAGAGGTCTTCTAGCATGATACCAAGCTGCAAGCCATACTGTATTTTATATATGTCCTAAATACATGAAGGATTTGCTCTTTCCTGAATGACACACACAGCCTTGCTCTGCAATAATTGTTTTCTAAATCAAGTCTGGATTCATCACTAAAATGCTACTGAGAAAATGTTTGTTCCTGCTATGGAAAATAAATATGAAATTGAGTTGATAACATAATTGGACAAGTCGAGGTAGCTTATTGGCGTGAAATTTGCGGCCGCCAATGCCAAATAATTGTTCTCATAGATTTCGGAAAGCTAAATGCTTGTAATGAAAGTCACTTAGGGTGCGACTATGCAGACGCGAATTTAGAGCGAGCGAGAGGTTGCAAGCGATTTAGTTTTCGCAAAGGAAAACCATGCACAAATGAGAAGCGAGAAATAACGCTGACGAGAGCGAATTTCTGGTTCTCGCACATATCTGACAGGTTTTGATATTTATCGCTTCTCGACTCTTCTCGCCACATATTCTCGCTCGCTTGGAAAATTCGCTCGCTCGCGTCTGTATAGTCGCACCCTTAGTGTGCATGGGCAAAAGCCTGGAGCCGTTCAGGCTTCCAAATTGTCTGGAATTTCAGTTATGATAAATAATTTTGTACAATGAAACAAAAGTTAATTTAATTTCCAAGTTTATAATAAGGGATTATTTCATAAAAACGCTTTACAGATCGTTATTTTTTTCACATTTTATGACCTAAGTTTTGATCTAACATGCCCACACAGTAAAACTTTTCATACAAATTTTTTACCCTTTTCAACTCTTTAGGGTTGAATTTCATAAAATCTTTTCTTAGTATGCCTAAAATTTACAAAAAGAACACACACTCAAATTTTTAAGTTTCTAGCACCAGTAGTTTTGGCTCTACGTTAATTATCCTATCAGGACTTGTTCTTTTATATACGAGTATATAGATGACTAAACTATATAATAAGTAGGTAGTTTTCATTTGATTTGTTACCTTTTTTTGATCTCTTAAAAAATAACTTAATTATATTACTTTTCCTTTGATCTTTTACATAAATAAGCAAAAAATTGCACTTTCTTGAACTTGAAATGTATGTTCAACATTAATAAAAGTTACCAAAATGATTAATTTACTGTGTTTTTGTTATTTCTTACTCCTTTTTTAAGGTATTAGGTATTCAGCTGAATAGTAACCGAATATTTGATGCATCATATATATATATAACCCATTCAACGGGTGTCTGTCCCGTAACCGTTTGATAACGGACACTAGAGGTGCCCCTATCGTATGTCATATTTCAAACATTCAAATTAACAATATAAATTATTATTATTCATTTGGCCAATAAATTATTATTTGCCCAATATATAACAATATAAATAATTCAATATATTTGTAATAGGAATTTATTATTGTCACGGAATGCCTGTAATGTTCACTAGGGGGCGAATAACGAAAAACCAGATAGATTTGAACCACTACGATAAAAACGATAAGGTTTGAAATAGTTAAGGTAATATAATAATAGAAACCTTTCATGGCACGACCAAAGAAATATGCCACTGTGGGGGAACGTAAAGCTGCCGCTGCTGTGAGACAAAGGGAGAGACATGCGCAGGAAACATTACAGAGAACAGCACAATCAACACGTGGATACTTGCAGAATGAAACTCAAGAGCTGAGATCTGCAATGTTGCACAGGCAGGCAGAAGCAAAACAACACAGAAGACAAAATGACACAACAAGGCAAATTGATTCCAAATAATAATACTTTTTTTTTTTTACCAAAAATGTTGTGTATACAGAAGTTTTATGATGGGATAAATGATGGAATACAGAATACAGCTAAAGAATATCTTCAGTCCATAATACAGAAATACTATTTGCTGTGTATTGATCTGTTAACATTACTTTTTAACATGAAGATTTGTATATATTTATACTTGATTTTTTAAATCACATTAATTCTATTTATTTGAACAATTTTGAGTAAAGAATAGCTTCACTTTCTCATGTATAAATACTGTTTGCTGTTTGTGTATTGATATTTTAAGTTTAGTTTCTAAGATGAAGAATTGTATACATTTATATATATTAACTGCATCAAACTTTTAAACATTAAGCGCACACAACTTTCATATATTAAGTGCATTAAACATGCCTCAGGAATTTGTAATGCTGCTGGAACGCCCATTAGGGGGCATCCCGGGCTACTAGTTAGTTATAACCCATATTCTTCTCCTCCAATAATATGCTTCAGACATGAAAACACCAAAATACACATATAGTGCAAAGAAAAAAGTGTATAATAGCCTCTTCCCTATTTACAAATTTTTAACTTGCTAACAATTTGACTGTACATCTAAATTTTAAGTTTCATGCAGATTGTGAAGTTCTCTTGCCACCCACGCTGTAGCTTTAAAGTTGGTTTTTGGCCGGTAATAAATACAGTAAGATCCCGCTTAACGCTGATTCGATATAACACGGTCTGCTTGAAACTTAAAAAAAGCTCAAAATTTATGCGGCATTTCATTAATTCATATATAATATGATTGCTTGGCAAGAATTAACTGATAAATGCATGAACGAAGTGTGGAAGAAGTTATGGCTGAAGGTATCCAAGAATTCTCAAATGAGAAGAGCCTATCGCAATATTGTTAGGTTGATCAAACTCAACCTAATTGATACAGCAGGACTAGGATATGTAGACGAACAGAATATTGAGGAGTTACCATAGGTTTCTGGTGAGAGTCTTATCAACAATGACCTTCAATAACTGGCAGAACAAGGAACATGTAGAACTGGAAAACAGTGATTCTGGATGCACCCTTAACAATGGAGCTAAATGTGAGAAGTGTCACTATTACCATGAAAACTAAAGTGAACATTATAAAACTAGGTAAAAAAAAAAACTGCATTTGAAACACCTGCTACCAAGTAGTAGAGAGCTGGTTAATGAGTGTAACATATTTTATTAAGTACATTGAAGGATCAAACAATAATAAGTGATTACTGTGTGTACAAATGGACTTTCTAGGTTAGTTTTCACCTTACAACAGAACCTCAGGAACCTAATCTTTTTGTAAGTAGGGGAGCACCTGTACCTAAAAGATGCATTTTAGCTTTTACTTTCCCCACAGTTAAAGATTGATGCAAATCATTTTACAAATCAAGACTTAATTTTTTAATCTGTATTTAATTTATCTTTTAAATAAATTGGATATTTATAAATCAAATTCATTTGACAATTAAATCTGTTTCACAAAATTAAAAAAAAAATAGGACTTCACCTGGACATTTTACATCCATAAAGAATGAATTAGGATGCTGAACAAGCCTCTTAAGTTTGCATTTTCTCCTCTCTTCAGCTGGAGACGGATGGAGTAAATCCTTAGCCAACTAAAAAAAAGTGAAATTAATTTAAATTAATATTTTTCCATTAAATTGATTTGTAATTATAAATAGCTCCAAATAAATAATTTTATTTTGTATTAGTTTATCATATACAATTACCATAAAAACAAAAATAAATTCTTAATATATTTAATGTCATGTCTATCTGACATTCCAATTCTTATAATGAAAATAAAATTAAGTTTATTATTCAAATATTTGACTAATAAATAAATAAAATATTTCACTATGACATTTGAATAATACAATGAAAAGGTTCTAATAAAAATTAATTTAAAAAAATTTGTAATACGCAAATTGTAAATCATTACAGAAAGACATTTATTTCTATAAAATTTGAACTATTTTTGAAATAACCTTAATCAGCAGATTATACAGCTTAAATTAAGCTTTTGATTTTATCTAATTTAGTTATCTGACATTTATATTTCATTAACCCATTAGATGTTGAAATTTTTCTCTGTTGCCTGTGACACCATGTTGAATTTTCATCGATGTTAAGCCTAACAAAATTTTTTTTAAAATAATAATCGTGTTTACTGTGTCGCTAAAAATTCTTTTTTTATGTTGCACAAAGAAAATAAATGTATTAAAAATATAAAAACGAAAAAAATTATATTCCAAAAGTTCGTTTTAATATAAAAATTGTGACGCATAGCAACATTTAGTATCAAAAACGTTCCAATGCAAACACGAAAATATTCGGGATCGCCCACGCAGGTCAATGAGGTGAACACGAAAATATTTGAGAACAATGCAGGACAGGTTAAGTTATGGCAACGCAACACTCGGGTGATCTGACTAGGATGAAATGCCTTCTGGGAGGTGTTTTTAAGGGAAACTGGCCCCTATTTAGGCATTACAGACGTGGATAAATCCCGGAAAACTCCACGTAGCCAGCCCGTCTCAGCAAGGTGTGAACCCACGAACGAACTCCCCGTGTTCAAGGTATGAAGACCACTTAGCCACTGGTGGGTTTTTACCGAAAGAGACTTCGACTCGAAGAATCTTCTTCCGATGAAGTGCTACTCATTATTTTTTTGAAGGGGATTCCCCTTCTAATCATTAAGGTTCGTATATGTTCAATTTTCTGCCACCAACTACAACAAACGAAGGTATTATTAAACAAAGTTTACATGTTTGTTGCTGTAACGATAGATACTACGTTTTCTTACATTTTCATCAAAGAAAATTACTGTATATTTCAAATAAAATGACAAAAATTTCAGAGACTAGAACGAATTAATTGCATTTGCATTAATTTCTATGGGAAAAATTGCTTCGGTTAACGAACGGAGTCGCGGAACGGATTAAGTTCGTTAACCGGGGTTCCACTGTACATAACAAGTTGGTAAGTAAATGGGAGTCGGAGTCGGCGGATTTTTGACGACTCTGACAAACACCAAAACTCCATGACTCCAACTCCACAGCCCTGAATTTATGTAAATAAAATATCACAATTCATTTAGATAACCTGCAGGTTATCTGTTTGAAATGGGAGCTGAACGCAGGCCAGCAACTTCTTTCAGCAAGTTAATATTACTAGATAATCCGCGTCATTGAAATTATGTGGCTTATCTACTGACTAACTCCCAGTTAGGAACTAATCAAAATAGCTTTTCCTCTATATAAAGTCACCTAGAGCATCTTCAGAGCTAAACAAGTCATTCAAAGACCAAATTGATTAACTACCTTAAACATGAAAAAAAAACATAAGCCTTGGAATAATTATTATTTTATATGTTGTTAAATAAAAGATGGGCCTGTAATAATACATTCTACAATGTTGATTGAAATTTAAAAAAAATTATTATTTTATCAATTTCTCTACTTTTGTTTTGAAATATCCTTTATATACTGTGATTTTTATCTGCTGCTGATTTTTCAAAGACACACACATACACATACCTCAATTCTAGTTTCTCTCCATCCATTTTCTTTGTATCAATCCATAACTGATAAAAGTTAAAGCAAGCATGTGTATATCTTATGAAATTAATAAGTAATAATGTCTCCATCTCTATTAACTTTCAGAAAACTAAATGATCAATTTTTAAACCCATATCAATATATGTCATTAACAAACAAAAAGTTAAATAGAAAAAAATTACTTTTCAGTTTATTTTAGTATTTATAATTACTATTAATTCATAAAGCAGAAATAGAACAATATGATAAAAAATATTTGTTACTTGGTAATCATTTTTTGTTTATTACATCTACAAAATTTAGAGTTCTCAATATTACTTTTAAAAGTAAAAGTAATTAAAATTAGTTGATCAAAATGTGAAAAAAATGCACTTAAACCAAAGCATCAGAGCTAACTCAATTTCACCATCTTTACCAATTCAATTTCTCTTGCAAATTACATTCTCATTTATCATGACAATTCAATATTTATTTTTTTATTAATCAAAATTTTGCACAAAAGTGGCTGTGAAATTTTTAACTGTGCAGAGGCATGCCATTGCATTGACTCATCTTTGACTACATTTTAGAATGCTTAAGTTTAACTCAGGGACAAATCTGTATGTTTCTTACATTATGAAGTAAGGTACAGTAGTGTAGTTTAACACGTTTGTTATGTAATAACTTTTTTCACTTTTTTCCTAAAATGTGTACACTATTTGTCAGATGCTGTGCATTTAAAATTAGCTTTAGAAAGACTATATTTATAATGAGTGATTATAATAGGCCCTCCTTTTGTATATATAATAAATTTCCTTAAGCCCAATATACTGATAATCAACTAAACGATCGGCTTAATTATTCAGTCTATAATTATTTATAGCCTGAATGATTAAGGCGATCGTTTGGTTGGATCCTTTTTTTGTGTAACCAAAGGTTCACAACAATTTTTTTCTGTACTTTTTAAATTCCACCCATCATGTACCATTTGTGACTCACACTGAAAATAATTTATTATTATTATAAATAATGAAAATATAAAGAAATATTTTTACACTGGATTCTTTGAACTATATTTAGGCAATTATTTTAATGAAGTCGAGTTTTAGACCTTTATCTTTTGGCCAAAAGTAATGGCAGAAAAATGTTTTGCAAAGAAATTTATATAAATTAACATTACAGGAACTTTTTAAACAATTTAGATACATATGGATGCAGAAATAGCCTATAAAGAAAGGTCACTTTGCTAATGTAAACTGTTATGGTGATAGTGAAAGAATATTTAACAGACTTCAAAAAACTTATTTTTGGTTTTAGTCTTTATAATTGTAAATCAGACTTATTTACTGACTAGAAATTCCCATCAGGCATGATGGAATATTTTTTTATGAGAAAGTATAAATTGAAGAATTGAGAAGAGTAGAGATTTCAAGAAATTCAAACAGTTGTTAATATAAACTACTTAATCTGTAGAAATATTATCTGTTGTAACAAAGAGCAACAGAACAAAATTCCACCTGAAGGGGACCAAAAAAAGTAGGAGTTATAGAGAATTCACTTACACAAACAAATTTAGGCCTTTAAAATATTATTAAAATCTTTCTTTATAAAATTACTTTATACGCTACATTATGAGTAAACACACTATTGTCTCTTAAAAGACTTTCTTGCGGTCTTCCTTTAGTAACAGGCACTTTAATATTGTTTTGATGATTGATGATTGATGTGATGCAGCCCTTGACATTCATTTCTTTAATTCCACAAATTTGATATAACAAAAGATAAATTGTATGTATGTTAGATGAGCAATAACACTTTCTAAATAATGAGCTCATTAGATTGTTACTTTTGATTGGCTAATAGATCATCATGTGGTCACTATGGAAAGATTTTTTAATAATTTGTTATAGAAATGACACGATGAGACTATCTTTTAAAAAGTTTATTATTTAATGAAGTATGTTTAAAATACGCCATTTGTCAAAATATTTAAAGAGTGCAACTTAAGGGAAATTCCCTCGTCAAGCATAAACGTCACTTGGTCACTGACGTCACTGCAACATAAGTGCGATCATCAATCCAAAATCGATAAAACATTTATTCTATATCTAACTTTTTCGCAAAATAAGTAGCCTATACTTTACATCAGAACATAAAACAAATATAACCAACAAAACAGAACACAGAATAAATGTTCTAAAACATGAGTTCAAGCCAAACAATTGTAAGATTACATCAGGCTATATTAATACTACTAATTACTAATTAAATATGAAGTAATTTGGCCTACAGGCGGCATTAAGCACATTAGAGATACCCTGACACCACAAAAGTATCAATATTGGTATCAGTCTTAACTGACCAGTATTAGGTATCAAAACTGGAATCTTGCTGGCTATCACTGTTCAATCCATTGCATTACCTTCCAGTTGTTTTTACTATTTAGAAGATATACCTAGCTCTCTTTTTTGCACAGTGGATGTGTTCCAAAGAACTCCATGTAAAAAAATCATTTAAAATGTATAGTATATGCATCCCATAGAAAAATGCTTGATAAGATCTACAACTTCAATGGAATGAAAAAATAAGCAATTTACAAAAGAAGCACAAGTTTTTTTTATTTTATCTTCATTTATCATTAAGGCTGCGACTATGCAGACGCGAGTGAGTGAATTTTCCGAGCGAGCGAGAATATGTGGCGAGAAGAGGCGAGACGCAATAAATATCAAAACCTGTCAGATATGTGCGAGAACCGGAAATCCGCTCTCGCTAGCGTTACTTCTCGCTTCTCGTTTGTGCATGGTTTTCCTTTGCGAAAACTAAATTGCTCGCAACCTCTCGCTCGCTCTAAATTCGCGTCTGCATAGTCGCACCCTAACATTATTTGTACATAAATATAGTAAACATAAAGTAGCATAGGAAACATAAAATCAACACAGCATTCTCTGGTGTGTGTGTGTGTGTGTGTGTGTGTGTGTGTATATATATACATACATGCCAGACTTATATAATAACTTGGTCTCTATAATGCAATTAGAATTTCTGACAGAAATCAAATTGGCTTATTTGGCTAGAAACAGTCTTTAAGTGTTCATATTGTCATGACTGTCTCTGAGAAGTGTTTGAATACATAACACAAGTTCTTTGAAACAATGAAAAGTTTTTGCAATTGAATACTTCTTAATTATTGCATTTAAATAATCCCATCTTTAGTTGTAATCATATTTGATTAATTTGGATTAAAACTAGCATAACAAATGTGTAAATGTATAGAATATAACTTCAATTCAGTGAATTTTTACAGCAGATACTGAAAATGAACTGTTTAACAGTCTGAAAGACATTTTTATCTGAATCTCTTAAAATTTGATTCCTTTAACAAAGTATCATCATTCCTTTCTCTGATGTATGTAAATGTATGATTAGCTAGTGTAGTTTAAAGATAAAAAAGAAAATACTAAAAGCTGTTCAAAAAGGAAACCTGCCAAAACAGAAAAAAATAATTTGGTACTGTACAATTTGGTTTATACAGATTTGACTGTATGTACAATTAATAAGTTTTCTATACTATATCTCAACCAAGTTCATAGTGACATAAGTAAAAACAAATGACATGACATTACAAAACTTGCTGTGGTAGATGAACTACTAAAGAACACCAATATGTTTACACATAGTTACATCAAAAAATTCATTTACATGAGTCCTTACATTATGTGATTATTGTGATATTAATAATTTTAAAATAAGCAAAGCATTATTTATGTATGAAAACTAAAAACAAATACACAGTAATAAAAATTCAAATCACAAAAGGAGCAGGAAATTCAGTTCTGTTCAAGATTGCTGAGTGCAAAGTATTATTTACCAAGCATAAAGGCAAGCCAAAAAGTGGTAAAAGAAGATTTTTTTGAATGTTTATAAAACACTTTCCAAGTTGCTTATTGTTATTATTTCATAATGTAAGGACTCCTGTAAATGAATTTTTTTGATGGAACTACACTGTGTTCATGTATATTGGTGTTCTTCAGTAGTTAATTTAGCATGGTGATTTTGTTAGGTGTATTGAGTTCACGGATTGGATGTCACGCCAACTTATGTCAATCAAAACTTCCAAGAACGTCAGTCTATGAGGCGTTAAATATACTTGAAATTATTTTTAATTTACGAGCGCTTTCGACGTAAATAAGCACGTCGTCTTCAGGTAAAATTAAATTCGAATAAAGAATTCGAACCATACATTTAAATTTAAAACATTAACGATACTAGCCGTTTTTGAACATACAAAAAAGAGATTTTAAATTTAAATATTTAGAATTAAACATTTAAAATTGGTGCGCATGCGTTTTAAAACAAATAAACATCGATTGGAGTGGCTATTAATTATTATGTGAACGCGAAAAATTGGCGCACGTGCACCTTAACATGCATAACATGAGAGCCAATTAGATGTCTATTAAGTACAATTAAATTTTTAGAATTTAAATTAAAACACTTTGTAAATACGTATAAAATTTTTGGCACGCATGCGCCTTAACATAGATAGCATAGAAACCGATCGGAATAGATCCACAAGTGCAAGTTTATGTTAAAATTTAAATTTTAAATATTAAAGCGCGGGACATAATTTAAAATACATAACACACGTAAAAAGACGCACA